TTCGTAAGGGCACGTTTCGCCTGTTGAAACGCCTTCTCTTGTTCTTGATTTCAAGTCCAACCGACTCCCTGACGTAGCAAGTAATTCAGTGGGTGAAAAAGTGTGGCAGTTTGCGAGATAAACCTCGCATAGTGATTAACCATGCCCAAGAAAGATCTTAGTTCATGTTTATTCCTTGGTTGCGGTGCCTCTAATATTGGACGTATCTTCTCGACTCGAGGGGCCAAACCATCCGCACTGATGCGGAAACCCAAATAGTCCACATGATCTACCAGAAAGTCACACTTCTCTTTCTTTATTCGTAGTCCAGACTCCTTCAAACCATCAAGTACCACTTTCAGCAACTTTAAATGCTCCTCAATGGTACACCCGGTTATCAGAATATCGTTTAGATAGACGAGCGTCTTAGGTATCCCCGCGATAACATTGTGCCTTGAAATATGGATGGAGCGGAATGGATTCCAAAAGGAAGGCGATTAAACATAAACAAACCTCTATGAGTACTGATGCTTGTAACAGCGTGGAAGTTTTGTCGTGTTTTAGAGATGCTACACTAAAGCACCAGCGTGCAAACTTATCAGTGTCGGCAGCTGTTCCCCAACATATATACAATATTGTATATATATATATATATATGTTATAAAGGGACCAAGCAAAGATGACCAGATGGGAAATATTACCAGCCTCAAAGTAGAAAAAGCAATCTCCTAGACATGCAAGTCGTGAGAAGTTTGATGCAAGTAGATCAGAAGAGATTTGTGTTAAGCGAAAACCCAAAAAGAAGTAACAGCAGTTCTTTCAATCATGAGAATGTTGTTCGGTTGGGGGGACGGCGGAGGTATGGTGAATACATGAGGAAATTGGTTAGTTGAACGTTATTGCCTCCCTGGATGGGGACTTCGGGGCTCAAATCATCAATGGTTAATGAAATTGGCAGAAATGGCCCAATCGCGCAGTCAGTGGCGCTCGCGCATCGAAACTATCGCTTTCAGTGCATAACTACCCAACGGGTAGTTCCATTGAAGAATGTGTCCAGCGCCGGAAGCTGCGTCGGTTGGGACATGTGTTACGCATGCCAAACCGTCGTTTGCCGAAGAGAGTGCTGTTTTCCATGCCCAACTCAGAGTGGCGTAAGCAGAGAGGTGGCCAACCCTTAGCTTGACAGAAGGGTATGAAGGAGATTACGAAACGCTCGGGTGCTGTTGGTGCTACTCGCCTACCATGATGGGGACCGCGTGATCCCCGCTGCGCCCGGTGTCAGTGGCGTTCTTGTTGTCAGTTTCTATCCAGATTGCCTGGTTGAATGTCTGGAGGTGTAGGCACTTCGGAATGATTGTAGTAAGCTAGCACTAATTCCCCTCTCCGTCCACCTTTATTCTTCGCTCTACAATAAGGCTTTCATGGTTTTACGGTGTTGAACACTGATGTCATACTCTCAATGATGATGATGATGAACACAAAAATGTCCATCTTGTGCCAGGTGGGTTTAGTGGGCTGATATCAGATAACTGTCACTCTAAAAGTCTGAGAACTTTGCGTTGTGAACTGCGGGATCCGCTCCGAAGTTCAGAAAGAATTATCTTGAGTACCTTGAAAAGACTTTGCTAAATGTGCCGTTGAGAACGGAACAAACGAACGCCTAAACTTCTGAAAAATTCAGGATAGCGTTCACATATATCTTTCCACCACGGCGAACCTTAGAATAAAAAACTTAGAAAATATTAGCTTAAGGACCTTGGTGAAAAAGCGCTGAAAATGATAACTTGATATCCAAGCGCGAAAAACTTGGTCGGTGGGTGTTACCTAGTTCAATTGTATTGGTCATGCCGAGGCCTATTCTGGATGAATAAGCGTTGTAAGCAACTCCAAATGTGAAAATAAACCTAACTGGCTGTGTATACTATACTCCTCACTGCCGAACGCGTGCATTTTGATTGCAGCATGAGCCTGTTAGGAATAAACGGGCTCAAATGGTACGTTGCACGGTAACGCGGTGGTGGTTATCTGGGTGGGCGGGCAAAACTCCCAGCAGTGTGAAAAAAGATAGAGATCTCGTCCCAGTATGAATTCACCTCTGATGGTGGAGCAGTTCGAAGGCTTCAGAAAACGATCCATCTAGCGCCCAGATTCGCCAGTCGCTCAGTTGCTAAGCTTACGCGACCCTAAAAATGAAGGGAGAAGTGACTCCGGACAAGTGCGTGGTGAGAATCCACAAATGTGTTCCAAGACGAGCGGTAGCAGTTATTGATTCACGCCACCGACCAAATGTGATCTATTTGAGTTCGTAGGTAGCACATCGTTGGAAGATACCAGGTGGCTGGACGACTTCGGCTATTTCGGGAGTTAGTACTGCATAGTTAGTATATTCTGACCTGCTCGGCTGCAGGGAACCGGCCTAACTCGAGGGTGCAGGCAAAGGTATTACTGCCTGAATACTGAATGGCTGCACACAGCAAGCGGATTACGATCGGCATCAGACTCTGGTTTTAAAAGTCTTTTGAACGTATTGAATAATGCGACGGCGGCTGTGGTCAAGCGTTGGACGATCGAAGTGTGTGGTTTTCAGGGCAAACCTTCTCTAATCCGTCATTTCTCCGACAAAGGCAGCATCACTGCTCCCAGGTACAGTGACATTCTAGTCGCCTGGGGGAAATGTCTTACTCCTTCCGCACTCCCATCGGAGAGGACAGTACGACTTCACCCCACCCCAGACCGTCTTGTAGTGTGATCACTCACATTATGGGGTCTCACTGCTCTCCTTCGGTCTTCCTGGTATAGTTACATCCTGTGGAACAAAGTTCCGGCCAGCGCAACCCGCGGGATCGTTGCAGCACTGAAGCCCAACCTCAGGCCAAGGTGGCAGCTATATCTTGTAGTGTCTTCAACCGGGCGCAGCGGGGATCACGCGGTCCCCATCCTGGAAGGCGAGTAGCACCAGTAGCACCCGAGCGTTTCGTAATTTCCTTCATACCCTTCTGTCAAGCTAAGGGTTGGCCACCTCTCTGCTTACGCCACTCCGAGGTGGGCATGGAAAACAGCACTCTCTTCGGCAAACGATGGTTTGGCATGCGTAACACATGTCCCAACCGACGCAGCTTCCGGCGCTGGACACATTCTTCGACGGGACTACCCGTTGCACAACCAAAAACGCGCTTTATGTTTGCCTCGATACGGATTCGCCGACACTACCTCGCACGAGCTATGGTTCTAAGACAACGATTGCCGAATTTCTGAGGGCGTTTCAGTTCCGCTGCTTGAATAGGCCAAGTCTCGCCGCCATACAACAAAGCAGCTCGCACTGTAGCTTGATACACACACTTCTTGAGATTAAGGGATAAACTACTCTGGCGCCATATGTGTTCCAAATTAGCAAACGCGACCCGGTCCTTGCAGATTCGTGCGTTGGCTTCATCTTACCAGTCAGAACCAATTTAACTTCCAAGATCCGTAAAACTCTCGACAACTTCTAGTACCTGTTCCTGGATTTTTGGTGACGTGTTCAGCGACTGCAAGTCCACGAGTATGACCTTACACTTTGTGAGTGCAATGTGCATACAAAACGACAGTGTGTCTGTACAGTAATCCTTAAACGCAAAAAAACAGAAAAACGGGGATACCAGGTTTCTGGATGGAGCCTCCTTTTAAATGGATCGCCTATTGGATCATGCCTGAGGAGGGACGCCTCTGTGTGACCTTCAGGACAGTTGCCCTCTTAAGGGGATCTCCGGAGAGCAGGTTCTGGCCCTACTGCTCATGTACTGAATGGGTTGTTGGGCGGTAAAGTTCAAAAACGGTCATCTAAACTGCGCCCAGACACATAGTGGCCCAGTTGAATTGTTGACCTTCAATTGAGGATGGCTAAGTTAAACCGAGTGAAAACTCCAATGCTGATCGGAGCAGAATAGCAGCAGGAAAACTCGTTCGCCCGTAACACTCGGTGCCTAGCTGCCCTGTCCCCCCGGATACTTCCAGTTTGTACATGCCTAGATAGGAGCAGTCAAGATGTCGAGGTTCAGTTCCAAACATGGACCTTCTGGCTAGTAAGTTCGCGCCTCAACCACTGAGCTTTCTCGAGCCACTTGTTCCTAGCATCTCTTCACTTGCGACTGATTCTAGTAGGAAGTTGTTGCTGCTTTTTTGGTATTTCACGCATGATTTTGTTTTTAAGCCGATTAGGCGATATTGCATCACGTTCCTCAAGGACTGTTGCGTGATATGTTTGTGTTGCAGCCTGTGTAACAGAGGTGCTTGTCAATGTAGTAAGGTCTCACTCTAAGATGGAGTTTGAATTCACACTTGGTTAGGGGCTATTCGGTGTTGGTCTCAAAAAGCCTGTCCAATAATTACAAGATCTTGCTTTTATTGTTCCATTCTAGTTCTCACCCCGGTCTATTCGGCATTCTGTACTGAAAACAAGAATCATTCCAAAAAGCCTATCCAAAAAACCATAAGGTCATTTGGGTTTTTGGCAATTAACTTATGTGGTTTTTCAACTTTATATACCCCTAAGCAAGACCATCGATACTGATCGTCACAGAGTCATGGATCTAGTGGGTACTACGTAAAGCTGTTAAGTGCAGTTTTATTAATTTTTATCGATAAGAAGGGAAACATAATTTACGGATTTTGGGAATGTGTTGATTGGCTTGTTACGTGTGATCGGGTTTGGCAGTGAGGATTGAATGAATGAGAGCCAAGACACTAGACGAACGACTGCCTTGTTTTTTGGAAGACTACCGTACGTGCATTTCGGCTGGGAATGAAAGTTCTGCTTGGGCTGTCTTCAAGAAACCTTGGCACCGGATTATCAAGCGAACTTTGTTGTTTCGAACCTATGGCTGATGACGTCTCTGCTCGTTCACCGAGAGCCTTTCCACTTCCTTTGCGTTATCATTCACCAAAGGGATGTCAGGTTGGATGACTTTATTGAATTTTTAGTTCATATACAATCTGGAGTTTATCCAAGGCGGTCCTTTGCGATAAAAGAGGATGATGCTTCAGTGACTGTGGTGAACACATGTACCATTTACTCAGTGAACTAGGAGTTTGGGTAATGGGCTATTTGGTGTATGGTGGGAGGTGATGACCCAGCGTGCGTTTGTCTTATTCGTTGATGGAAAACTCAGCGCAACAACTCGATCACGATCTCCTGCATTCCGTTTTGACAACGGTAGGTTGGTTGCAATGATTGTGCAAATAACCAGGCGAACGAAAACATACTTTATGTTTCGTTTTTATTGTCAGCTATTGCATAAGAGGTTGGTTGAGTTACGTTTTTCCCTTCTCCCTTC